GAGTTTCCACATTGATTATTGAGTCATCTGGTTTATTGGGTACTCTGGTCTGGAGACTAATGAGGATAGCCCTGCCCTTGAGGAGCTCAAGGAGCTGTCCCTAGGTAGCAGTGGGGACTGTTACAGAGCTGGAACCAAGGATGGGGGCCGAGCACACTGGCGTTGAACAAGGCTACCTAGTGGAGAAAGCTGCTGTGTGGGAAGATCAGCAGAGCTTTCTTTGTTATTTTTTCCTCTTGGTCTAGGTTCTGAGAGCAAATCTAAATGTCTCCTGGATACCTTAAAAGTAACACCTGGAGTCAGGTGGACTCCACATGGTTCCAAGGAAGAGAGTTCCACTAAAGGCATCCCTGTAAGTGTGACTGACTTGAGGCAGTGGCAGCCTCAGCCAGGCCAATGTGGGTGTGCAGCCCAGGGGATTGGGGGAAAAGGGATGCCCTTCAGCCTTTGTGCGCCCATCTATTCACCGATAGTGCTTGCTGCACTGCCAGGAGAAGGGAACTTGGAGAGAAGTCACAGTTCTCTTTAAAGGAATTAAAATTATACTCATATCATTCTTTGTCCTGTTTCCAAGACAGCTTTATTCTGTGAAAGCATAAGGAAAAGCAAAGAAAAGACACCCTTATCTCTCTGCCTTTAAGACATCAAAGCCAGTTATCCTGGGGTCAGGATGGTACATCGGTGGATTATGGCCACATGTTGTCTGGCTGCTTGTGGTGTCACCTGGTCTCTACATGAGCTCCCAGCCACATAGGAAAATGGCCTTATTGGTTCTCCCTTTCTCCAAGGCCGTCTTCTTTTTTTGACTTGCCTGGTTAAAGGGGTTTCTTCTTCAATTTTTGAGGGAAGACTTCTCTGGGCCGTCACAGACAGAAACTTTGGAAAAACTTTGCGATCGTTTCAGTTCTCCCTTGTGCCAGGAGGGTAGCATAACAGATAAAGTACTTTCCTCTCCTCCCTCTTCCCTCCTCCCCCTCCCATCTCCCTTTCCCCTTCTCCCCTCCCCCCTCCTCCCCCTCCCACTTCCCATCCCCCACCCCTCCCCTCCTCCCTCTTCCCCCTTTCCCCTCCTCCCTCTTCCCCCTTCCTCCCTTCCTTTCTTCCTTCCTCCCTCCATTCCTCCCTCTTTCCCTTTCCCTCTTCTCTTCTCCTTTCTCTTCTCTTCTCCTCTTCTTTCTCGAGTTAGGGTCTTTCTCTGTCACCCAGGCTGGAGTGCAGTGGCATGAACACGGCTCACTGCAGCCTTGACCTCCCAGGCTCAAGCAATCTTCCTGCCTCAGCCCCCGACAAGTAGCTGGGATTACAGAAGTGCACCACCACACCCTGCTAATTTGTGTATTTTCTGTAGAGATGGGGTTTTGCCATGTTGCCCAGGCTGGTCTCATACTCCTGAGCTCAAGCAGTTCCTGCCTTGGCCACCCCAACTGTTGGGATTACAGTCATGAGCCACTGTGCCCAGCTCCCCCACCTTTTTTTTTTTTGCTTCCTTGTAGTATCTATTCTTCCTGGAAGACAGAATCACAGGATTCAAGGCCAGCCATGATGTTGAGAGGGGAACTACCTATCCTAGCGGCAGAGCATCCGGAACCCACCCAGGGCATCTTGGGATTGGACATTTTAAATTTTCTTTATCACCAATCACAGTCTCTCTTCTTTAAGCCCAGGAACCACTGGTGGGCCTTGGGTGGGTTTGGGGAATAACATATTTGTATCCTTCCCATGCTGCTGAAGTGGGTATTAGGCAGTGGGCCAACACTGCCAGTGAGATTGAGCAGAGCTGAGGAATGGACAGTTTGCCTTCTAGCAGCCCGTCCACAGAGGGAGGGGTCATCTGTTGTCATTAGATCTGTGGAGGAGCACCAGTCACTGTTGAGATGCTGCCCAGCACCTAGGGATGGGGGAGAGATCCCCTGGCTTCCCCCTCTTCCCACCCTTCCCACCCCAGTGCCTCTCATTGGCTGAACCGAGCCAGAAGCCTGGGAGCCTGGAAAACAATTTGTGGCATCAAATTTCACCCAACATCATGGTGCAGACCTAAGCAGAGCAAGAGTGAGTGGATCTGAGCAAAAAGGCAAACGACTGGCATGTTCCCTTAATTCCACTTGAGCTACAGTTAATTGCTAACCATTCTAGAATGTTTGTGCTACTGGGAAATTCTTTAATCTCCTTCATCTAGAAAAGGCCTCCTTTTTCTTCAAGACCAGTTGAGATTCTTCTTCTCTGTGAAATCAGCACAGACACCCCAGAAATTGTTAGCTAGCCCCCACGTCGGCTGTACCAGTTCTTTGTTTGGATCTCTGTTCATGGTACTTGCTACTGGGATATTGTAATTGATCATTTTTGTGCCTTATTTCTTCTGTCCTTGGAGGGCCTCAAGGGCAGACGCAACATCACAGCCTCTGCATTCTCAGGACCTAACCCAGGATCATTGCAGGGGTGTGCAGATGAGTGGGCTGTGGGGGTGCCCTGCCCAAGCTTTCATAAATGATGAGTGGCAGAGCAGAGATAGAGGTCTCTGGTCCTGTGCCCTTTCCACTCTGAGATTTCGTCTGTAGTAATCAGTAACTCCCCAAGAATCAGAATTTGAAAATCCTGGAGACAAAGTTCATGGACTTATTTCTTATGCATTATGATATAATATATAATTCAAACTGGATGTTGTAGGGGTGAGTATGGAGGTGGTATGGACAGGCAGACCAGGATCTACCTTTCTTTGTTAAACCTTTCTTAAACTCTGCAAAATATATGTCCTTTTTTTTGTAACTGAAGGCTAAACTTATGCTGCTTCAGAATGTGAGAATGTTTATTATATGTTCCTCATAAATTAATCGATAGAGATATGTAAGTAAGGAATTTAAATGGTGACATCCACAGCTTTCCTTTGGAATTCCTAAAAAATTCTCATGGAAAAGATGCATCAATTTATGAAACAAGAAGATGACATTTCAAAGAAACCCAGCAAGAGTTCTTAGGGAATAGATGGGATGTGATTTTCTCTTGTCTCTTTTGGCTTAACGCTTCAGTAGGATACCACACTGTACGTCCCATTGATGGCAGGAGTAAGAATGCCGTTGACTGAAGAAAGGTGATATATAAGCTCTATATTTAGCAGTTTTGATTTTTTTTCCCCTGATTTGCAAGAACTGAACTTCTTTGCTGTTCCTGTTACATAAGCTATTATATACAAAGAGGAAAGAGTTAAATAAAATGGAGTGCTTACTCATTTCGACTAAATAGCTGTCTGGGAAAGACAGAGTGCCATCTGAAAGTACCTGGTTAATTAGATACCTATGTTTGTTAGGAAAGAAGCATCAGCCTTTCTAGTTCTGCTGTTGGACTCTCTCATGTCAGTGAACACAGTGGGTCCAGGCTTGAGAAAGCTTCAGAAGAGGACAGACCCTGCCCTGGGAGGCATCACAGCTCTGTTTATACACCGGAACCTCACCCGGAAAGACACCTCAAGTCCACATCTCATAACCGAACATAAATGCTTATTTTTTTTACAATGTGTAGTGAGATTAAAAACTCAATTTCATAAAAACAAATACTGGACCATAACTGATTAGAGAGTAAACAAGGTCAGTGAATGACTTAGGCCTGTTGAATAGGTCTGGGAAATACACACATGGATGGGGAGGAGGGATGGGGCATTCAGCCCTCTGCTGGCTATTCAACAGGAGCAAGGAGACTGAGAGTCTCATGTGCTAGGCCTGCCAGGACAAAGCTGACAGGACACGGGCCCACACAGCAGCCTAGTAGAGCAGTGGTTTCCAAAATGTGCTTCAAGGGCCCCTGGGGTGCTGGAGCAGCTCTTACTAGGAAAGCACTTAATGGGCTTTTACTTAATTCAGATGAATTCAGGTAAGAGCCAATTGTGTGCATCTCTTTCCCAACTCCAGTTCAGTGACCTCTTGCATTGTTACCTTGAAATTAGCCATACTGGAAGTATTTAACTACAGAAATTGGCAAATGCTGCAAACTGGAGCTATCCCCCAGTTGAACAGATTTATTTATTTATTTATTTATTTTTGAGACGGAATATCACTCTTTTGCCAGGCTGGAGTGCAATGGTGCAATCTCAGCTCACTGCAGCCTCCGCCTCCCTTGTTCAATGGTGATTCTCCTGCCTCAGCCTCCTGAGGAGCTGGGATTACAGGTGCATGCCCCCACACCCAGCTAACTTTTGTATTTTTAGCAAAGATGGGGTTTCACCATGTTGGCTAGGATGGTCTCTATCTCCTGACCTCGTGATCCGCCCGCCTTGGCCTCCCAAAGTGCTGGGATTACAAGCGTGAGCCACCGCGCCCCGCCAATCCAGCAGATTATTAAACATTTACTAGCACTGCACTGCCTGGGGCTCCCTGACACACTTTCAGGGGATCTGCATGGTCAAAACTATTTTCATAATGGTACTGACATCATTTGCCATTTTTACTCTCCTTTTACAAACGCACAGATGTGTTTTCCTGAAGCTTAATGATGTATGGTATGCAACAGACTGGATGTAGGAGCAGACGTGAGAATCCAGCCATCTTCTATGAAGCAAGACATGTAAAATGGTGGCACCCTTCTCACTCATTTTTTTTGTTTTGGAAAACAGTTATTTTTCATAAAAATATTATTTGTGTTAACATATAATTGGCTTATTGTGTTAAAGTAAATACTTTCTTTTTTTTTTTTTTTTTTTTTTGCATGTAGCTGACTAGCCTACCAGGTCTTTTATGCAGTTCAACATACACAGTGACACCAAGGTAAGACAAATGAAGTTCCAGTTTGGGTGCCTCCATCTCCCTCCCCTGGATCCTGATCCAGTGGCTGTCAAAGCCAGAAAGAACTGGGGTAGGGTGCTTGATCATGGGGAAAGTTGTTGTGGTTCGCCCGGCAGTTGGGAAAGGGGGAGGCTTCACTTCTTCACAATTTGAATGACATCCTCATCCTCCCACGTATGGCCTTTACCCACTTTCTGAGGATTGTGTTTCACAGACAGACCCCAGACCAGAGCATATTTAAATTATTTGATAAGATTTTTATGCATCTTCATGCAGAAATCCTCCACTGTGGTCCTGGAGTAAGGAAGCACCACTGGGGATGTGTAATCTGGTAACTGGTCTTTGGGTTTGGTATAAATTCTCACTAGTTTCAGATAGTCCCAGATCTTTTCCAGTAGGTCATCAAAATTCCAACGGTGATGGGCAGAGATGGGTACACAGTGAGGCACCTTATAGATGATATCCAATTCCTCAATGGAGATTTGGTCAATCTTATTTAACACATAGATACAGGGGATATAAACTCTGTTTCCTTCCACCACATCAATGAGGTCATCAGCTGTAGCATCACTACGTAGAGTCACGTCGGCATTATGAATCTTGTATTTGGCCAGAATGCTTTTCACAGTTTCAGCATCCAGCTCACTCTGGGGGCAAGTGGCTGTGAGGTTAATGCCTCCCTTATACTTCTTCTTAAAGCCAATGTTGAGGGGTTTGCTGTTCAAGCGAATGCCAAAGCCTTCCAGTTCATTTTCAATTATCTTCTTATGTCCCAAGGGTTTCAGGACACCCAAAACAATCAGGATCAAGTTACAGGCTCGGGCCACTGCAATGACTTGACGACCTCTACCTTTCCCATCCTTGGCACCTTCAATGATACCTGGGAGATCCAGGAGCTGGATCTTGGCACCTTTGTATCTGATGACACCAGGCACGGTGGTCAGAGTAGTGAATTCATAGGCTGCTACCTCAGAATACACCCCTGCCAGGTTACTAAGCAGTGTTGACTTCCCCACAGATGGAAAACCAACAAATCCAATTCGAGCATCACCTGTCTTGGCCACATCAAAACCTTCTCGTGGACCTCCACCACCACCCCCCTTTGGAGTAATGAGTTCTCGACGAAGCTTAGCAAGACGAGCCTTAAGCAGCCCTAGGTGGTGTGCTGTGGCCTTGTTCTTTTGAGTCCGAGCCATCTCAGCTTCTATCTCCCGATTTTAGCTAAGGTGCTGCTCATCCTGGCGAGTCCCCTGAGGCCTCCACACTGATTGTTTCTCTTCACACACCCGCGGGCAAATTCAATACTTTCTTTAATTCCTCAATTTGACTCTCAAGTGTGGTAAATGTAAATAAATAAAACTCACATAAACAAAAACTCTTAGGGGTCCTCAATTTAAAAAAGACAAGATTTTATTTTAGAGCAGGTTTAGGTTCACAGCAAAATTGAGTGGAAGTCTGTTTATCAATTCTTTCTTTCATAGATTGTGCCTTTGGTGTTGTACCTAAAAGGTAATTGTCAAACTCAAGGTCATTCAGATTTTATTGTATGTTATCTAGTAAGAGTTTTATAGCTTTGCATTTTACGTTTATGACTGTGATGCATTCTGAGTTAATTTTTGTGAAGGGTGTCAGGTCTATGTCTGACTTCATTTTCTGATGTGGAATGTCCAGTTGTCCAAGAATCATTTGCTGAAAAGACTATCTTTTGAGCTGACCCCGGGAGTAAAGAGAAAAAAAAAAAAAGAAAGAAAAGACTATCTTTGCATCATTGTTTTGCCTTTGCCCTTTTGCCAAGGGTCAGTTGACTATATTTATGTGGGTCTATTTCTGGGCTCTTTATTCTGTTCCATGGATCTGTTTGTCTGTTCTTTTGACAATACTGCACTGTCTTGATTACGGTAGCTTTATAATAAGTTTTGAAGTTGAGTAGTGTCCATCCTCCAGCTTTGTTCTTCAATGTTGTGTTGCCGTGTTGAGTCCTTGGCTCCTCAAGTTTTAAGAGTGTTATCTTAGACCACGTGCTGTGGCTCATACCTGTAGTAATCCCATTGCTTTGGGAGGCTAAGCTGAAAGGATTGTTTGTGGCCAGCAGTTCAAGACCAGCCTAGGCAACATAGTGAGACTCTGTCTCTGAAAAAAAAAAAAAAAAAAGCCAATTGTGGTGGTGTGCATCTGTAGTCCTAACTACTGGGGAGGTCTAGGTGGAAGGATCACTTGAGCCCAGGAGTTGGAGGTTACAGTGAGCCATGATTATACCACTGCACTCCAGCCTGGGCTGCAGAGTGAGACCCTGTCTGAAAAAAAAAAAAAAAGTGTTATCTTAGTCTGTTTGTGCTACCCTCACAACATATCTCAGACTGGGTAATTTATAAAGAACAGAAATGTATTTCTTACAGTTCAGGATGCTGGGAAGTCCACGATCAAGACACCAGCAGATTCAGCGTGTAGAGAGGGCTCACTTTCTGTGTCCAAGATGGCAGCTTATTGCTGCATCCTGCAGAGGAGATGAACACTGTCCTCACATGGGGAAAGACGGAAGGTCAAAAGAACCTACCTAGTTCCTTTGAGCCCTTTTTAAGGTCACTGGTCCCATCCATGGATACAGAGCCCTCATGACTTAATCACCTCCTAAAGCTTCCACCTCTTAATACTGTCACACTGGACCTTAGGTTTCAACATATGAATTTGGGGGGTACACATACATTCAAATCATCGGGGGTCCTGAGACCAAAAAGTTGGAGAACTACTGTTGTAGCAAAAGATGGACATACACACAGATGAATGCCATAGATTCTTGTGTTAGGAAGAGTGTAGAGTGTAGTGGAGGGGAACCTGAACTGAGTTTTGTATATCTGCTGCCTCGTTCTGGGGACTGAAAGAGCCTGTTGCTTTAGGATACATCTCTGAGAGTCCAAATTTAGACACTGTGTGACAGACTTGGGCCTGGCCTCAGGAGGGGATCTCAGAAGGGCATAGAATATGACATCAGGGTACAGGATGTGAAGTGCCAACCTCCTCTGGGATGAGGGAACATCGGGCAGAGTAGGGCAATTTGAAAGTGGTTTCTTCCAGCTCTCTGAGAGAAAGGTGGGTCTTGGTTATTAGGGCTGTGCATGTGAATAAAATGTTTTGCCTCTTCATCTTCAGAATTAAAACTTTTGTTAAATCCCAAGAGTCAACCGTGTTTCGGAAGGGAGCATTGATATCTTATATTGCTTACCTACAGCCCTTGAAGTTTTGCAGGAAACACTAGAGAAAAAGGTGGAGCTTTCGTCTCAAACCCCAGGATTTTTTTTTTTTTTTTTGAGATGGGGTCTTGCTCTGCCACCCAGGCTGGAGTGCCGTGTCATAATCAGGACTCACTGCAGCCTCCATCTCCCAGGCTCAAGTGATCCCCCTGCCTCAACCTCCCAAGTAGCTTGTGGAAAGGCCCTGTGGCAGAAGAGAGTGTAGTGTATTAGGAGAACTAAAAGAAAGCCTGGGTGGCTGCTGTACAGAAAGCCAGGGAAGAGAGGTCCAGGATGCTGCTGGACTGGGGAGGAGACAGCCTTGAGCCTGCTTAGCATTGTGGACTTTCCCTCAGATCCCTAGGAAAACACTGAAAGATGAAGGGAGATAACCTTACATTGTACTTGCATTTTGAAAGTCTCACCCTGGCTATAGTATGGAGAGTGGTTTGGAGAAGAAAGCAACTAATGAATTTATATTTAGTTCAGCTGAGAAATGACATGGCTTGGTACTTGTCTTAGCTTGGGCTGCTGTAAGACAGCACATAGACTGGGTGGCTTACAGATAAAAGTTCAGCTTCCAGAACTGTCAGAAATCTGTGTTGTTTCTCAGAGCGTACAGTGTAGTGGAGGGGACCCTGAACTGATCAGGGTGTCAGCATGATTGGGTTCTGATGAGGTTCCTCTTCCAGGCTGCAGACTTAATTGCTGTATCATTACATGGCAGCAAGAGGGCCAGGGAGCTCTCTGGCCTCTTTAGAGAGGAGGTCTCACCATGTTGCATGGGCTAGACTTGAATTCCTGGGTTCAAGCCATCTTCCCACCTCAGCCTCCTGAGTAGCTGGTACTACAAGTGTGCACCATCATTCCCGGCTTTCTTAGGCCTCTTCTTATAAGGGCACTAATCCCATTTATGAGGTCTCTGCTCTAATGACTTCATTACCTGCCAAAAGCCCCACCTCCTAATGCCATCACATTGGGGGTTAGAATTTCCACATATGAATTTTGGGGGGGAATACAAACATTCAGTCTGCTGCAATGATAGTGATAGATAGATACTGTGAGTAATATATTTGTGTGCAAGAAGTCATTGCCAAACTCAAGAGCATCTAGATTTTATCCTGTGTTATCTTCTAGGAGTTTTATAGCTTTGCATTTTATGTTTATGTCTGTGATCCATTCTGAGTTAATTTTCGTGAAGTGTGTCAGGTCTGTGTCTAGCTTTGTTTTCTGATGTGGATGTCCAGTTTTCCCAGCACCGTTTGTTGAAAAGACTTATCTTTGCATCATTATTTTGCCTTTGCTCCTTTGTCAAAGGTCAGTTGACTGTATTTATGTGGGTCTATTTCTGGGTTCTCTATTCTGTTCCCTGGATCTGTTTGTCTGTTCTTTTGACAGTACTACACTGTCTTGATTATTGTACCTTTATAATAAGTTTTGAAATTGTGTAATGTCAGTCCTCCAGCTCTGTTCTTCTCCTCTGATATTGTTCTGCTGTGTTGGGTCTTTGGCTCCACAAGTTTTAAGAGTGCTATCTTAGGCCATGTGTGGTGGCTTACCCAGCACTTCGGGAGGCTCAGCCACAAGGATCACTTGTGTCTAGGAGTTCAAGACCAGCCTGGGTAACATAAAGAGGCCCTGTCTGTATTAGTCTGTTCTCCCGCTGCTGATAAAGATACACCAGACAGGTGTGGTGGCTCACGCCTGTAATCCCAGATCTTTGGGAGGCCAAGGCTGGTGGATCATGAGGTCAAGAGATTGAGACCATCCTAACCAACATGGTGAAACCCGTCTCTACTAAAAATACAAAAATTAGCTGGGGTGGTGGCGTGTACCTGTAGTCTCAGCTACTTGGGAGGCTGAGGCAGGAGAATCGCTTGAACCTGAGAGGCAGAGGTTGCAGTGAGCTGAGATTGCGCCACTGCTCTCTAGTGTGGCAACAGAGCAAAACTTAGTATTAAAAAAAAAAAAAAAGACATACCCAAGACTGGGCAATTGGCAAAAGGAAAAGATTTAATGGACTTACAGTTCCATGTAGCTGTAGAAGCCTCACAGTCATGGCAGAAGGTAGGGAGAAGCAAGTCACATCTTACATGGATGGCAGCAGGCAGAAAGAGAGAGAGAAACTGCCCTATAAAGCCATCAGATCTCATTAGACTTATTCACTGTCACAAAAATAGCACAGGAAAGACCACAATTCAGTTGCCTTCCACTGGGTCCCTCCCACAACATGTGGGAATTCAAGAGGAAATTTGGGTGGGCACATAGACAAAGCATGTCACTGTCTCTAAAAAAGAATTTTTTTAAAAAATTGGCCAGGTGTGGTGGTGTGTGCCTATAGTGCCTGTAGTTCTAGCTACTGGGGAGGGATCAGTTGAACCCAAGAGTTGGAGATTACAGTGAGCCATGATCACAGCACTGGACTCCAGCCTGGGCTACAGAGTGAGACCTTGTCTCTGAAAAAATGAAAAAGAAGTGTTAGTCTGTTTGTGTTGATGTAACAAAATACTTCAGACTGGGTAATTTATAAAGAACAGGAATTTATTTCTCATAGTTTTGGAGGCTGGGAATTCCAAGTTCAAGACACCAGCATGTTCAGTGTCTGGTAAACACTTGCTCTGTGCTTCCAAGATGGTGAGAAATAAATTTGCCTCTAAACATTTTAACAAAACATGTGTTTCCATTCTCTCATTGAGTGAAAGAAAATATCCTAACAGTTGACTTATAGTGTAATTAACACACCTGGCTATATTTTGTCCAAGCATGTGGCCAAACTGACAGGGTAATTAGTAGCACCCCGTAAAAGGTTGATGGACAAAGAACTGAAGTCTCATAGAATCTTGCTAGAAGTCATCTGGTCCAGCCTCTAACTGGAGCACTCCAAAGACATTGTACCTTTGCCAGAGCCCCTCCAATGGTGGGAGGTTGTCACTGTTGTTACAAAGTCACAACAGAATGACCATGTGAATGATGTACACTAATTATGGGACAAATAACCAAAGCATCTGATGGCTGTAGTTGTTTCAGTGTTTGTACACTTAATTTTCCTTCTCCTCCCCTGACCTCTGCAGAATGGCTTATTCAGAAGAGCATAGAGGTGAGCCCTGTGGTTTCATCCGCCAGAATTCCGGCAACTCCATTTCCTTGGACTTTGAGCCCCATATAGAGTACCGGTTTGTGGAGCAGTTGGAAGAGCGCTACAAATGTGCCTTCTGCCACTCGGTGCTTCACAACCCCCACCAGACGGGATGTGGGCACCGCTTCTGCCAGCACTGCATCCTCTCGCTGAGGTGAGTGGGCAGGGCCTGCAACTCCGGCCACGGCAGGCCCAGCATGCAGGTGCCGATTGTGGCCACTCAACTGTTCTCATGGTTTTTGGAGTTGCTTTATTTGGCCACAGAACCATGACTATAAGGAGGGACTCTCCCAGATCTCCTCTGTGAGGTCCTGAAGAATAATCATTTTTGGGTTATTTTAATTTACAGATATCCTTTTCTTAAAATTCAGACTGCACCTGTTTTGCATGGGAGAGCAGACCTAGACACACACTCCATTATGGGAGCTGGCTGTGTGGAAGAGCTTGAATCTCACAGCGTCGGTGTTGTAGTCACTTCAGTCTTCCCTTTCCTTGAGGCAGAGGTGCTGTAACACCTAGAAGAGACCTTGCTGCCATGGATGCTGTCCTCTCCTGGGCAGCTGAAAGACCTGGGTCATGCTGTGTTGAGGGAGGAGACCAGGAGAGATGTGGAAGCAGACACACTTTGGGGGGTTACATAGGAAACAAGGCAGTCATTTTACCCTGCCAAAACTTGAAAGTGGGTTATTATAGTGGATCCTCATTCCTTCATGTGTTTGTACCTTCAGCAACTGTGTGTTCTGTGCTCTCATGCTGAAGAGCTACAGTGTGGAACAGGACCCCATGTTTGCCCTCTAGAATGTTCCAGTCCTGAGAAGGAGACGTTGTGGTACAGTGTGATAAACAAAGGACAAAGGGCATTTAGTTTTGTCCACTGACTGCATCCTGGAGGATGCATGAAGTTTTTCAGGCAAACTGAGACTAGGAAGGTGCTGAAGGAGGGGTGCAGTAGGCACCTTCTGGGTAGAGGGAACAGCATGGATAGACAGGGACCAGCCTGCCCAGGGCTAGAGCATGGCTAGAGCCCTGGGGCTGCTTTTGGAAATGCTGTTGAGGTAAACACCTAACTCTGGCTCCATTTTTATTTTTCTCTCCAGAGAATTAAACACAGTGCCAATTTGCCCTGTAGATAAGGAGGTCATCAAATCTCAGGAGGTAAGAAAGTCACTGCATTGGTCTAGCAGCTCTCAGGGTGATAGAGAAGAAGTCAATGAATTGGACATAGAGATTGGAGCAGGAGAGTGGTCAAGGGAGACCTTCCTTGGAGTCGACATTCCTCTGCTGTGGGGCCATATCAGAGCCTACTCATAGCCCTGTTTCAGAGGCTTGTTTGGGTCTTTATTGACCACATCCCTCCTCCACCCCAAGTCTCCTTGCCTGGTTCTTCCTTATCTCCTTCCTATACTAGCTCCAGCTAATGTATTTCATTACGGTTTTGATTTGCCTTTTCCTGTTGGCTGATGAGGCTGGGAATTTTTTCAGGTGCTTATTGGCTATTTGTATATCTTCTTTGTTAAAAATGCCTATTTATTTCCTTTGTTTATTTTAAAAACTTGAGTTATTTGCCTGTTATTGTTGCATTATAAAAGTTGTTTATAGCCTGTAATCCCAGCAGTTTGGGAGGCTGAGGCAGGCAGATCATATAAGGCCAGGAGTTCGAGACCAGCTTGGCCAACATGGCAAAACCCTGTCTCTACTAAAAAATACAAACATTAGCTGGGTGTGGTGGTGCACGACTGTAATCCCAGCTACCTGGGAGGTTGAGGCATGAGAATCGCTCGAGCCCAGGAGCTGGAGGTTGCAGTGAGCTGAGATCATGCCACTGCACTCCAGCCAAGGTGACAGAGCAAGACTCCGCCTCAGAAAAAGAAAAAGTTCTTTATATATTCTGGATATAAATATCTGCAAATATTTTTCTTCCATTCTGTGGGTTGTCTTTTCCCTTTCTTGTAGTGTGTTTAAAGCACAAAAAATTTTCATTTTGATGAAGTCTAATTCATCTGTTTTTTTTTTTTTCTTTTTTTTTTTTTTGGTTGCTTGTTCTTTTGGTGTTGTATCTAAGAAACCATTGTCTGTCCCATGTCATGAAGATTTTCTCCCTTAAAACTCCTCTTTAAGTTCAATTTTCTTCCTTTAGGATTCTGTTGCAGGATGTTTAAGCAGAAGCTTCCCTTCAGCCTCTGGTCTGCTGTATATGCGCCTTCTCTATACTTCTTATAATGTATTTTGTAAATATCTACAACAGGGCTGTGCTGTACTTAGTGTCTGTCTGAGCTACTATTCCAGGGGTTGGCATACTACAGTCTTGGGACAGATCCACCTGCCACCCATTTTTGTATGGCCCGTAAGCTAAGAAACTCTTTTTATGTAATGGTGGATGCATAGAAACCTTGTATTTTTGCAACTTCTTGTGAGTCTTAAACTACTTCAAAATAAAGTTATTTAAAATAATCCAGAGAAGGTTTTGTGATATGAGATTCAAATTTCAGTGTTCATAAATAGTGTTTTATTGGAACATAGCTGTTCCCATTCATTTAGGTATTGTATACGGAGGAGTTGAAAAGTGACATCAGAAACAATTGTGATGTGGACTATCTGACCCCTTACAGTTTGTTGGCTCCTGGTTTGTGCTAAAATAGCAAGCCAGCACAGCCTGGGTAATGCTGTCTGATGAGTGATACATTTACTCTGGGACAGGAAGCTGAAAGCATCACTCTTGGCTAAGCTTCACCTCCTCACCTTTGAGAATGTGGGGTCAAGTTCACCATGAGATTTGCCTAGCTGTAGCGTGTTGCACTGGGCATTGTTACCTGGCTTGTATGTTTGATGGTTTGTCAAAAGCGTATATCGGAGACAGCCTTTTCTTTCAGTGTGGTGTAATATTTCCATTCCAGCAGTTGTCTGGAAGTTTCCACCTGCCTGTTGAGGTATACTTGAAGACCAAATTAAAATAGCTTAATTCACATTGCCGTAAAACTTTGAAGTGTGTGAAACCTATTATGTTTACCTTTTAGGTTTTTAAAGACAATTGCTGCAAAAGAGAAGTCCTCAACTTATATGTATATTGCAGCAATGCTCCTGGATGTAATGCCAAGGTTATTCTGGGCCGGTACCAGGTTGGTATTACTCATGAACAGTATTTACCTTTGCTGTTTTTCCGGGGATGTGTATTGAACCCCTTTATGAGACAGTTACTGAGCTAAGCATGTAACAGGGATTCAGTGGATTGCCCTCAGAGATTCCCAGTCTAGCCATACAGGTGGCTACAGTGCTGCGGTACCCCTAGGGCTGAGGTATGAGTGAAGAGGTTCATCCTGTATGGAGCGCAGGGAAGACATCTTGTATCCACTAGACCTTAATTGTGTGGTAGGGATCATTGAGCCAAATGAGAGGGTGCAGAACATGCTGGACCAAACAAACACTCGAGAATATGTCATTTTGGGGGAACTGGGTGGGACCCCGGGGATGATTACAGAAAGACACAGTTGTGAGGTCCTTCCCTGAAAGCATTTGCTCTCTCACTTGGTGGTGTCGTAGGCATTTCCCAGCAACTGTGAGGCCTGGCCTCGTGGGGTTTATGATCTATGGCGGATCACTCAGACCAAGGCAGAGACAGGCTGCGGGTTAAAGGTAAAAAGCATTGACAGGAGAGACAAACCAACAAGGCGTAGGGGAAATGTAAGTGAAGGGGAATTGAGTGCCTTTAAAAATGAAGTAAGGCCAGCTGCTCTTCCCTCCAGCTAGGGAAGGTGGTTAAATGGGAAGCTAGAAACTTGTCGTTGCCTGGCAGGCCCATGTCAAGTTTGATCACACTACAAGTGAACATGACTCAGGCATCTCTAACTCCTAGGGAATTGCTGAGAGGCTGCTGAAATTTTCCCCGCACACCCACACATTTTGGAACACATATTTCAGATGATTCAGTCTTTTCTCTATCACTCCAAATCCCCCAGGCACTGAGCTTATAAATGTGTAAATGATTTCCTTGTTAACCCAGGGACTTCTTTGGAGGTTCATGGAACTTTTGGTATGTTTTCATGTGTCCTTTGCCACTTGTTTTGAATAGTCAAGTCCTAGAGCGAGGGAGGCCTTTTTCCCCAACTTTGTTGTCACTAAGCCAAAAAAGCAAATGAGGCTGAAATGGACCATTGAACAGCTTTAGTGACCAGATCACAGGCTTGTGGAGAGCAGGGGCTGGTTTCTTTCCACCTGTTTCTTTTACATTTCCCCTCATTCCTTGTTTCCCGCCTACCCCCTTGTGTGGTAAGGTGTTGAATCTTATAGGTAGCAGAGTTTCAATGAATGTTGACTTTTTGGGTGAGAGTTGAGGATGTAGCATCAACAAATTTTGGAGAAGAGATGGATTCCACCTGTGATGATTCATACCACCGGACATGAGTGAGAATACCTATATTTCTCTCACTGTCAAAAAACTGTTTGCCTTTTCTTCTGAGAGAAGATCAGCAAACTCTGTTAAGAGTCAAACAGTAAAAAAATAAAATTAAATTAAAAAGAGCCAGATAGTAACTATTTTAGGATTTGCAGGCCATACAGTCTCGCAATTACTCAGCTCTCCCATTTGAGAGGGAAAGCAGCTATAGACAATCTGTAAAGGAATAGGTGTGGGTCCTTTCCAATACAACTTTAATTATAAAAACAAGTAGCAGGCCAGATTTGGCCTGTGAGTCTTCACTTGCCAATTTTGTTTTAAAGGACCCTCAGAGGGACAAGTTCTCTAACATTTTGGTAACTTGCCAGCATCACAATAACTTCAGTGATTCAAAGGTTTTCATTGAGATATGCCTGCTTTTAAAAATCTAGAATGTTGGCCAGGCGTGGTGGCTCATGCCTGTAATACCAGCACTTTAGGAGGCTGAGGCGGGCGGATCACCTGAGGTCAGGAGTTCGAGACCAGCCTGGCCAACATGGCAAAACTCTGTCTCTACTAAAAATACAAAAATTAGCTGGGCGTGGTGGCGGGCGCCTGTAATCCCAGCTACTCAGGAGGCTGAAGCAGGAGAATTGCTTGAAACCCGGGAGGTGGAGGTTGCAGTGAACTGAGATCACGCCACGGCACTCTAGCCTGGGTGACAGAGCAAGACTGTCTTAAAAAAAAAAACAAGAACAAAAAAACATAGGCTGTCCAGCCTGGCCAACATAGTGAAACCCTGTCTCTACTAAAAATACACAAATTAGCTGGGCATGGTGTGTATCTATAATCCCAGCTACTCGGGAGGCTGAGGCACAAGAAGTACTTTTACCCAGGAGGTGGAGGTTGCAAGGAACAGAGATCCCACCACTTCACTCCAGCCTGGGCAACAGAGACAGACCCTGACTCAAAAATAAAATAAAAAATAAAACAGTATAAGAATACAAATAAAATAATCTAGAATGTGAAGAATCCGGGAATGAACACTGTCCATGTCATCATTCTCAAATATTAAATAGTATATACATAACTTTATATAAAATAATAAGAGCCAAATAGTAACTATTTTAGGCATTGCAGGCCATACAGTCTCACAATTACTCAGCTGTCCCATTTTAGAGGGAAAGCAGCTATAGACAATATGTGACAAAATAATATTAAATAGTGTATATATATAAAAAATTATATATATACTAAATAGTATATACTACTAAATACTATATATATAACTTTAAATAAAATAAAAAAGAACCAGATTTTTATTTTAGGTTTTGCAGGCCATACAGCCTCACAATTAGTATATATACTAATTAGTATATACAATTTGCATATATATTAATTAGTATATACAATTAGTATATATTAATTTGATTTTTATTTTATTTAAAGTTATATATACTAATAGTATATATTCTATTAAATAGTATATATCACAATATATATATCACAATATATACCATTTAATATTTAAATATCAATGTGGTGTTTAATATATAACAAAATATAGAATATTAAATATTAACATTAATATTTAATATATAACATTATTGATATATTATACTAATGATATATATGAATGATATGTAATATCAATAGTGATATATTTATATATTAAATATAATAAATATATATTATTATAATAAATTTAATATATATTATTATAATAAATTTAATATATATTTAATATATATTATTATATAATATGTTATATTTAGTATATATTATAACATTTAATATATATTCTACCAAATATATTTAATATATAGTCTATTCAATATATTATAATATTGAATAGAATATATAATTTAAATACATTATATATTTAATATAGTATAATATATTTAATATATATTTATAATATAATTTAATATATAGTATATATTTACAATATAAATATATATTTTAAAAAATATATAAAATATATAATATATTACAATATTTACATTATATATTTAAATTATATTATAATTTATTAATTTCAAATATATTATTTATACAATATATTTATATAAATATAAATATTATATTTAGTATATTATATTTGATATATATTATATATATTAAATATATTTACATATAAATAGTAATTAAATGTAAAATTAAATGTTTAATTTAAATAAATGTTAATATTTAATAATATTAAATGACATTAGAGAATATTTAAAATAAAATTTAAATAACTTATTATTTGTGTCAGAGTCTCACTCTGTCACCTAGGCTGGAGTGCAGTGGCGCAGTCATAGCTTACTGCAGCCTCAAACTGCTGGATTCGACTGATCCTCCCACCTCAGCCTCCTGTGTAGCTGGGATCACAGGTGTACACCACCACACTTGGCAAATTAAAAAAAGAAATTTGTGGAGACAAGGTCTTGGGGTCTCACTGTGTTGCCCAGGCTGGACTTGAGTCCTGGCCTCAAGTGATCCTGCTGTCTCAGCCTCCTAAGGTTCTGCGATTATGAGGATGAGCCAGCACACATGGCCAATAAGTTATCATTAATGGTTAAAAATATTTCCTGATTTTACCAGTCTGACCATTCCCAGCTTCTCTTGGGCCTGCACACCTGTGTTTCCTCCATCTCCTTCTCTTTATCGTTTCTGGAATAGCTTCCTCTCCCTTCTTTTCATCTTCATCGTTTGCCTTTCTTCCTTGAGTTAGGATATGCCCTTCTCTCCTTTTTTCTTTTTCTTGTTTCCTTTTACCATCTGCTGTGCATAGACCCATACTTAATGCTGGGGGTTCGGATGAAGAGTGCACAAAAGAAATAAAAATGTCCTTGAAGAACTCGTAAATTAAGGAAAATATCCAAGAACTAACCTGAGAATATGAGCACGTTATTAGATCTTGGTGTACTTCCTCTTCACCCATCTTCCCCTGTCCTCTGAATTCCTCCCAACCAAGGCAGCCCTCCCCATGCCCTCTCCTCAGCAGTGTCAGTGGGCTGCATCCCCTGAGAGCCTACCCTGTGCCTTGCCCTGTGCAAGCCTTTCTGCGCAGCTGCCCACCCTGTTCTCTATCCCTCTCTAGGCTTTCTAGCTGACCTCCCTCCCACTGCCCTGCTCAGTGGGTCCCACTGGCCTGTTGTTATCTGTTGCAGGATCACCTTCAGCAGTGCTTATTTCAAGCTGTGCAGTGTTCTAATGAGAACTGCCGGGAACCAGTCCTACGAAAAGACCTGAAAGAGCATTTGAGTGCATACTGTCAGTTTCGAGAGGAAAAATGCGTTTATTGCAAAAAGGATGTAGTAGTCATCCATCTACAGGTAAAAAACAACAACACACATGGCTGGGTGCGGTGGCTCATGCCTATAATCCTAGTACTTTGGGAGTCCAAGGCGAGTGGATCACCTGGGGTCAGGAGTTTGAGATCAGCCCGGCCAACACGGTGAAACCCTGTCTCTACTAAACATACAAAAATTATCTGGGCGTGGTGATGTGTGCCTGTAATTCAGCTACTAGGGAGGCTGAGGCAGGAGAATTGCTTGAACCCGTGAGGTGGAGGTTGTAGTGAGCTGAGATCATGCCATTGCACTCCAGCCTGGGTAATGAGTGAAATTCCTTCTCAAATTAAAAAACAACAACAACACACAAAACAGTCATCTGTATGGAGCTAAATTATGCCTGAGTGGTCACAGTGAATCAGGTGAAATGCCAGAAGAACATTCCTGCATTTATTTTTGTACAGAGTTAGGTCTAAAGAATTTGCTTTTTGGAGAGAAGTTCTGTAAAAAGCTTCAAACTTTCTTGTTGGTAGCACTCTATTCATTTATTGTTGGCAAAAATATTATTTGAACATGTGCTGTGTATGTGTAAGGAATGCTAGGTGATGAGTCACAAGGAGATGATGATAATGTCTCCTCTGAATTCTGCAGTGTAGCTGGGGAGGCGGGACGTAGGCCTAAAAAGAAACCATGGGTACTTTTTACATGTCCCGAAGGAGTTATGCTGGCAGTTCCGCAATCTACCTTCTTTGAGTCCTGTGTTCTATGACTTTTTTTTGGAATAATTGGAAGATTTAATATTTCAATTAAGTTAATTTATGCCTGGAAAGCAGACATCTTTAATCCTTTTTTGGAAGTAGGCCATAACTTTCTGTAGCAAGTAAGCCACATGACATATAGCCCCAAAGAGACACAGGTGTAATCACTGTGAGGCCATGGAAGACAACCCTTGGCTTTGTTTTATTGCACTTTCTCTGTTTCAGAATCACGAGGAAAACTTGTGTCCTGAATACCCGGTATTTTGTCCCAACAATTGTTCGAAGATTATTCTAAAAACTGAGGTAACTGCAAATAATCCTCCTGTAGATTTTATGGAAGATAAAGTTTTAGTAATCACTGTGGTCTGTGTTTGATAAATCCCACAGATAAGGGCCCAGGGCTTAAATTATACTCGTGATAATGATGTCTCGGTCTTTCCTCCTCTTTGCCCTGCGCACTCTTTCCAGTTTTCATCATAGCTCTTTCTTGCCAGGCATCTCTCCTTCTCCTGGTCCTTGCCTTCTTCCCAAGTCACCCTTGGTTCCCCGATTGCTGCAGTTGGAGAATCAGTGATGAATTTATGCTTGTGGCTATCCATTTCATAGGTGGATGAACACCTGGCTGTATGTCCTGAAGCTGAGCAAGACTGTCCTTTTAAGCACTATGGCTGTGCTGTAACGGTATGGAATGCCTTTTGTTTCTGCCTCTACAGTCTACTGTATAATTCACTTGGCAAGTTCAGTTTACTCTCTGTTCCATCGAGGATGGAGAAAGACATACAGTTCTGAGAAATTTAAGGCTGATTATTTTAGGGTTCTCCAGTGAAACAGAACCAATGGAATATATACATATAGAGAGAGATTTATTTTAAGAAGTTGGCTCTTGCTGTTGTGGGGGCTAGCAAGTCCAAAATCTACAGGGCAGCTCAGCAATCTGGAAACTCTGGCTGGAGTTTCTATGCTGCAGTCTTGAGGAGAAGCTCGTTTTCTTCAGGAAATCTTAGTGTTTGCTCTGAAGGCCTTCAAGTGATTGGATGAGGCCCACCACACTATGGAGGGTAATTTGCTTACTTCAAGTCTACCAATTGTTTTCATCACATCTATAAATACCTTCACAGCAACATATAGACTTGTTTTGACCAAACAATTGGGCACCATAGCCTAGCTAGGTTGACACATAAAATTAACCATCACAATAATTATTTCTAATTCCAATTCCATTGCCTCCACCTGGTTTGGAAACCTTCTGGGGTTACTCCTCTCATGATTACAAATCCTGGTTTTATGGTGATATATCCTTGTATATCACCAAGTATACTGAAACAAAATGGACTAAAATTGTGTTTTAATATGTATGTTATTACCTTTTAAATACTTTAATAATTCATGAATTATACAAAATTAAAATAAAATTTGATTTCTACTTCAGTCTTTTGAATAGATTCCAGATGGATCAAAGTTTTAGGCATTAAAATATATCATGTTCTGTATTATCATTCTGTGTTTTCTGTAAATCTAAAATTACGCCAAAATAAAAAGTTTACTTCAGAAATCATGAAAATGCTAGAAGGAAAAATGACTGAATTTTTTTATTCTTAAAATAAAGAGGCTGGTGCAGTGGCTCACACCTGTAATCCCAGTACTTTGGGAGGCTGAGATAGGTGGATCATTTGAGGTTAGGAGTTCGAGACCAGCCTAGCCAACATGGTGAAACCCCGCCTCTACTAAAAATACAAAAATTAACTGGACGTGGTGGCTGGCGTGGGCACTTGTACTCCCAGCTATTGGGGAGGCTGAGGTACGAGAATCGCTTGAACCCGGAAGGCCGAGGTTGCAGTGAGCCAAGGTTGTGCCACTGCACTCCAGCCTGGACGACAGAGTGAGACTCTGTCTCAAAATAAAAACAAAACAAAACAAAAACCCAGAAACTAAAACAAAAAAAGCAGCTCTTTCTTAAATGATTATCACAAAACCAGAAGTCATAATTTTGATAAACTTAATAATAAATATTTAAAACTTATATATGATTTTAAAAAATACCATAAATAAAGTCAAATAGCAAACCATGAACTGGAGGGAAAAGTTTGCAACATATGATCAGACAAAAAGAAAAGGGGGCTATTTTCCTTAATATACAAAGAATTCTTCATGTTAATAACTTACTCAACTTAACGGAAAAATAGGCAAAGATATATGGCATATAGGCAGTTCCAGAAAAATTTCATTTGGCTGTTAGATGTAAGAAAAGATGCTCAGTTTCATTCCTAAATAAATATAAATTACAACAAGAAATATTTTACCTAATGTCATCAAATTGATAAAGATTAAAACATTTTATGATACCTCACTTTTTTGGGCAATTTGGTTATATCTATGAAAATAAAAAATGAATCCACACATTGACCCTGCAGTTCCACTGCTAGGATTTATGCCGCAGATATCCTTTTTTAAGTATACAGTGATTACACATACACAAATATACACAAAGATGTTTATTTTATTGTTGTTTGTATAGGAAAAAAAAAAACCCGAAACTAAAAACAACCTATAAGTCCATCATTAAAACATGAACTATATAGTTATATATTCATATTTTAGAATACCATGTAGCTGATAAAAATGAGATATATATAAAAAAATTAAATATAGTATGTTCTCATTTGTGTTAAAAATGTATATATAGCCTTACTCTAGTAAGACTAGGAAATTGGGTGTGGAGATAGGCCTTCTATTTATCATTCTTCATCTTATGTTGTTTGACATAAGCACATATTTCTTTTATTTTAAAACCCATTAAAAATGTATATTCTGAGAAGGCTTTAAAAAAATCAGTGAAGAGTCTATAAATTTGCCACATATCAAACCAGAGGTGGTCTTGGCTGCCAAAAGGATAGGTTTTACCTTTCTTGTGAATGAAATGCAGGATTGTCCAGCCTGAGCAACATGGTGAAACCCCATCTCTACCAAAACATACAAAAGTTAGCTAGGCGGGGTAGTGTGTGCCTGTAGTCCCAGCTACTTGGGAGGCTGAGGTGGGAGAATCTCTTGAGCCAGGGAGGCAGAGATTGGAGTGAACCAAGATCACGCCATTGCACTCCAGCCTGGGCAACAGAATGAGACCCTGTCTCAAAAAGAGAAAAAAAATGCAGAATTGCTTTCTAGCTCTGAAAAGGATCTTTACAGTCAGGTCCAAATCTCCAGTTGGTTTGTATTCTAGAACTTGCCTCAGTACCAGAGCTTGGGATGGCAGGGGGAGTTATTCTCTGGAACCTTATTCAGAACAGCCTGTCACCAAAGAGGCCAACCCTAACCTGAATGGAAATTGATGACAAATATTTAGTTAGGATGGATCACCTTGAACACCTAACAAACATTTAATTTTACTAGTAATATAGGCAGTCTCCAAATAAATCTTTTAATGATTAGGAAAAAAGCAACCATTTCTTCTTACAAATATATTCTTTGGTTTTTGAGAGCAACAAATTTGCATGGGCTGAAATTAAAATCAGCTGGCATTCCTTCTGCCCATGGCAGCCAGGCAGTGATTGGAGGAACTGTGCTTGACAGTTCCTGTGCTTGACAGGAGGAAGAACTGGCTTTGACTTAAAACTGATTTGAAGGTAAACCACCAAGGAGATAGGTTTTATGTGGGAATAGTTGAGAGATGATAACTCCATTTAACCCACAGTCATATACTCCCTGAGCAAGGAAGAAAATCAGCACTGAGAATTTTGGTATTGGCCTGATTCTCTGTCTCATGGTTTTTGTAGAATCCTAAAGCTGGGACGGGGCATGGTGGCTCACACCTGTAATCCCAGCACTTTGGGAGGCCAAGGCAGATGAATCACTTGAGGCCAGGAATTCGAGATTAGCCTGGCCAACATGGTGAAACCCCATCTCTACTAAAAATATAAAAATTAGTTGGGCATGGTGGTGGGTGCCTGTATTCCCAACTACTTGGGAGGCTGAGGCACAAGAATCGCTTGAACCCAGGAGGCAAAGGCAGGGAGCCGAAATCACACCACTGCACTCCAGCCTGGGTAACAGAGCAAGCTATCAAAAAAATAAATAAATAAAATCCTAAAGCTGGAAAAGGAACCCACTGGAGTCATTTTTCCTGCAAAGCACCTAGAGACTGCTGCATGTTTAAACTATTAAAGTAAGCAAAGTTGTTAAGATGTCCTACCACCTCTCTCATTTTTTGGAGCCTCTCATCAACCTGACTTATTTTTCTCTTCACATTGAAGGATAAACAGAGGAACCTGCAGGAACATGAGCAGTCAGCCTTACGGGAGCACATGCGTTTGGTTTTAGAAAAGAACGTCCAATTAGAAGAACAGGTAAATTTTCAAAGGTACAAATATAAAGTGAAGCAACAGAATTGCTGAGATTTGCTTCCTCTGTGCTGGAATTTTTCTATTCTCCTCTATTTCATTTTAAGTCAATTGGAGATAAATGTTTTTCTATTAAGTAGCCAAACAGGCTCATAGAATTATAGAATGTTAGAATTGGAAGGTGCCATTAAGATCCTTGGGTCCATCCCCATCATTCAACAGAGGAAATAACTGAGTTCTGAGAAATTTTTGTGTTTTAGTTGGAAGTAGCAGAATTCAATCTCAAAACCCATGTCCTCTGATTCTAAATCAAGTATTCCCCATGGTACACCATAACTGCCTCTCAATAGCCTATCTACACACCTTTTGGTTAATACCTGGTACCTAGCAATTTGATGTTTAAGTACATTAATATTACTGTGAAACAACAGTTGACTATGTGTTCCAAGCACTACGGATTTTATAAATTTTGTGATAAGTCTAAGCTCCTGCCTTTGAGAAGCTTTGCAGCCTGACAAATGCATACATACACACTTATTTCACTGAGTTGTGATTATTAAGTGAAATGGTATGCAAATGCCTGCCATAGTTCCTGTGTCACTCATATTAACCTCAATAAATGCTGACCTATTGATCAATTTTTAAGAAAGTTAATTATTTTGTTAGAACATCTCAAAAGATCAGACTTTTCAAGCCCAAGTAGGGAAGAAAACCATCCATTTTCAGAAAAGGAGCTGATGTTTACTAATGCACAGGATTTTTTGATGTCTGATTTTTCTTTTAAAGTAGATATGTGAGTTTCCAGGGTCAGATCCTGGAGAAAATTAGGAAGACTAATTAAATAGTAACTTTGGTAGAAGGCATGCTGCCTCGTAACCGTTCTCAAGTTCTTTCTGTATCAGTTGCCTCATTCATCCATCCTTTCATTCAAGAAACACCTACCATATGTCAGACACAGTGTTTGCTGTTAGGGACACTGAACCAAGGAAGAAATAGCCTCTACCCTTGAAGAACTAAAATAAATATAAACAGGTAAGTTGTCATGGCTTGTAGAACGTGCTATAACTCAGTCTGGGGTACAAAGACTGTAGCAGTTTATTCTGGGTGAGTTGGGGAAGACTATCCAAGGTAAGATATCCAAGCTGCCTCTTGAAGGAGGAAAGATTCAGCAATTAAAATGTGGAAAAAGGACATCCAAAAGGGAGAGCTTACACTGAAGCAGGGAGGCATAAGAAATTCTGATGGATCAAGGAAATGGGGTTTTAGGATGAATGGACTTCTGAGTATGAGACAGGGAAAGGCTGGAGACTGGTGTGTTGGATCCAGGTTGCAGTGGCCTTCCGTGTAGCCTACGAAGTTTTGAAAACTGTGCATTCAATTATTTTTTCATTCATTCATACTCTGCCTTGTTTCAGAAAAGTTTTAAGGGCCAGAAGTTTGAACTAATGTTTTTTTCAGTAATAGGGAGCTAATGGAGGTTTCTTAATTGGAAAATACTTGACCAGCTAATTGTTGAGATAGGGTCTGGCCCTGTCACCCAGGCTGGAGTACAGTGGTGCGATCTGGACTCTCTACGATCTCTGCCTCCAAGGCTCAAGAAATCCTCCCGCCTCAGCCTCTTGAGTAGCTGCAACTATAGGTGTGCACCACCACACTCAGCTAATTTTCGTATTTTCTTTTCTTTCTTTTTTGTTTTTTTTTTTTTTTTTTGAGATGGAGTCTCACTCTGTTGCCAGGGCTGGAGTGCAGTGGCACAATCTTGGCTCACTACAACCTCCACCTCCTGGGTTCAGGCGATTCTTCTGCCTCAGCCTCCTGAGTAGCTGGGATTACAGACACGTGCCACCACACCCAGCTAATTTTTAAAAAATTTTTAGTAGAGACAAGGTTTCACCATCTTGGCCAGGCTGGTCTTGAACTCCTGACCCTCATGATCCACCCACCTCGACCTCCCAAAGTGCTGGGATTACAGGTGTGAGCCACTGCACCCGGCCATTTTTGTATTTTTTTTGTAGAGATAGGGTTTCGCCATGTTGCCCAGGCTGGTCCCGTGAGCTCAAACCATCTGCCTGCCTCAGCCTCCCAAAGAGCTCTGTTTGTTTTTTAAAAGCAAGGCAGTTGGTAATAGCATGGCAATTGATAAGAGTGAAGGCTCTGGAGCCAGAATGCCTGGGTTTGCAGCCAGGCTGCACACTAGCCATATGAGTTTGGACAAACTACTTCATCTCTCATCCCAAGTTTCCTCATTTGTAAATGGGATTGTGATGATGGTTAAGCTAGTAGCACAATGCCTAACACACAAGAAGCACTTCAATAGTAGGTGGAAGCAAGATGCTGGAGGTGGTGGTGGTGACGGTGAATGCTCAACCAAGGCCATGTCAGTGGGCTGGAAAGAGAGCATCAAGAGACATTCTGAGGTTGTAAACCGCATGTAGTAAGCTGAGTAAACGGGGACGTGGTAATGATATTAACTGAGATTGGCCTACAGAACTGGAGCAGGTTAGAGGTGAGGGTGCACAGAGAGACAAGGAGTTTGCTTTTGGTCAGGCAGGTAGGGAGAAGTCAGCTCTAAGAGTCTAAATAAAGGATTCTAGGGCCAGAGATCAAATGATTCTCTCAGCCATTTGTGCATTCATTCATAAAACATGTATCAAATGCCTTTTCTGTGCCAGGCACTGTCCTAGGCTCTGAGGATAAAGAAATAAGCAGATGTAGTCTCAAGAAACAATTTAGTGGAGGAGAAGACCAAAACAACAACAAAAAGCAAGTTATAAGTGTGATAATGATGATTTATGCACTAGAATGTGCACAGGGTATCATGGAACTTGAGAGGTGGTCTGGGTGGGTGGTGCTAGTAAGGAATATTTCCAAGAGGATGTGCCTGTGAGTGGAGGCTTAAAAAGTGGTAGTTTTTAGATGAAGAGAGAAGTGTCTGAGAGAGCAGGGCCTGATGGGAAATAAGAGTTGTGTGGTCTTGCTGGGCAAGGATGCATGTGGAATGTGAATGGGCTTGAGGCTGAAAGTATAGCCAGGGTCAGGTCATGTAGGGCCCAGTGTCACCTATAAAAGCAAGCCGCTAGAGACCTTTATGCAGGGAATGCTCAAGACCAGATTTTTCTCTTAATATTATTCTGGTCACAGTATGGAGTACAAATTGAAGGAGAACAAGACTAAAGCCAGGGGGAGCATTCATGCTGTTCATTCGTTTAACAAACATTTATCAAGCACCTGCTGGTGCCAGGCACCAGTCCAGTTGCTGGGGTCATAGTGGACTGTGAGATTCATGCCAGTCCTGGCTCCCATGGAGCTTATGCTCTAGTGTGTGTTGCGGGTAGAACCGGTAGAGCAGGACCAGTTAGAAAGCTACTGTAGTAGCCCAAGGGAGAAATAATGAAGACTGAAGCTAGTGCTGAAATGAGAAATGGATGTGAGTCTTTTTCTTTCTATTGTCAGTAAAAGTTAAAGTTGGCACCTGTTGCGGATTGAATGGATGTGGGAATAAGAGACGAGCTGTCTAGGATCAGCTTTAGGTATCTAGTTGTTTCCCTCAAGTAGATTATATCTGTCAATATGCTACCTACATGTTTTGCCTATCACTTGCTGAGTTGTATGCTGATGGGTTACTTAAACGCTGTACCTCTGTTTCCTTAACTGAAAAATGAGTCTAATATTCATGCAACTCATAGGGTTCTTTGAGGCGTACAAGAGCTAATGAATAAAAGGGTATGACAGACAGCAAATTTTTGCTATTATTATTATTGATACTATGCATATAGGATTTAATGTGGTATGGTGATCAGTACTCTTAGTTTTATTTATTTATTTGTTTATATTTTTGAGATGGAGTTTTGCTCTTGTTGCCGAGGCTGGAGTGCAATGGTGCTATCTTGGCTCACAGCAACCTCTGCCTCCTGGGTTCAAGCAATTTTCCTGCCTCAGCCTCCCAAGTAGCTGGGATTACAGGCATGAGCCACCATGCCCAGCTAATTTTTTTGTATTTTTTAGTAGTGATGGGGTTTCTCCATGTTGGTTAGGCTGGTCTTGAGCTCCCAACCTCAAGTGATCCACCAGCCTCGGCCTCCCAAAGTGTTGGGATTACAGGTGTGAGCCACCACGCCCAGGCTACTTTTATTTTGCTTTAAGAGCCAAGGTGTCACTATGTTACCCAGGCTGGACTCAATCTCCTGGGCTCAAGTGATCCTCCCCCATCAGCCTTCCAGGTATCTTGGATTACAGGTGTGTTCTGCTGTGCCTGGCTTCTGTGGTTGCTTAACAAGTGCATGTTGAATGAATGAAGAGAACTAGTTAAGTAAATTCAGTCAAGTGATGTCCTGTCATTAGATGAACCATCATTGTAGGATAGGTATAGAAAAGGCTGATGAGAAATTCTGTGGATGTGCCTTTTTGGAACCACCTGTAAATATCTTCCTACAGCCAGGAACGGTGGCTCAGGCCTGTAATCCCAGAACTTTGGGAGGCTGAGGCGGGCGGATCACAAGGTCAGGAGATTGAGACTATGCTGGCCAACATGGTGAAACCCTATCTCTTCTAAAAATACAAAAATTAGCTAGGTGTGGTGGTGCATGCCTGTAGTCCCAGCTACTTGGGAGGCTGAGGCAGGAGAATCGCTTGAACCCAGGAGGCAGAGGTTACAGTGAGCTGAGATCATGCCACTGTACTCTAGCCTGGGCAACAGAGTGATATTCCGTCTCAAAAAAAAAAAAAAATCTTCCTACAATTATGTAGGACTCTATCTATAAATATTTTCCTAGAAATAAATACGTATTTTTTTCCTAGATACTTTCCTAGCTGCAAGTACGATTTTAACTTACATGCATGCCGTTACATTCAATGGCCTTATTTTTCCTCACATTCCTGTTATTAGATTTCTGACCTACACAAGAGCCTAGGACAGAAAGAAAGTAAAATCCAGCAGCTAGAAGAAACTATAAGTAAAATTGAAAAGGAGTTCAAGCAGTATACACAGTTTTTTGGCAGAAATGGAAGCTTCCTCTCAAACATCCAGGTAAGAAGTGGCCTTTCTGTTGAAAGCCAAGATTTGGCTTTCAATTGCAGTGAGAATTTTTCTTTTAATTGTTTAAATAGAAATAATTTAAAATATACAGAAAAGCTGTAAGAATAAGATGGTGCTAAGAACACTTGTATAACCTCCACCCAGATTCACTCATGGTCAACATTCTGTGCTGTTTGCTTCATCATTCATGCTCCCTGCCGCTGCCCCTTCCCCGATGTGTGTGTGCACGCGCATGTGCGCTTTCTAAACCATTTGAGAGTACACTGTGTATATTATTGCCCTTTACCTCTACATATTAATACTTCAGTATATATTTCCTCAGAATAAAGATCTTCTTTTACACAACCCCAGTAACTTTAACATTGATACAACACTTCTATATAATTTATAGCCATTAGAGTTTTAATTAATGTTGGGCCAATATTAATCATTTGATTGCAGAGTCATTGAGAGCATCTGTAGTCCTGTATTTTGTAGTCAACAAGTGAAATATTAATTCCCTTGAGAAGAAAATGCTTTAAACATCCACTAAAATATAGCAAAAAGAAGTACTTTGTAAATTATGAATGTTAAGTAACCATAAATGAATTCTGATGAATAACATCTTTATCATGATTATAAAATTTATAGTGAAAAAGATTTCAAGACATGTGGTATAGGAAATATGTTTGAAACTTAGATTATCCCAGAAAATCTAGGCCCTATCATTTCCATATTTGTCCAGCACATTACATACATACATACCCCCCACATATACATACAATATATATGTATGTGAAATATATATGTAAGATATATGCATATGTGTATATACATATATATGTACAGATACTCCTTGACTTACAATGGAGTCATGTCCTGATAAACCCATTAAGTTGAAAATATCATGTCAAAAATATATTTAGTACACCTAACCTGTTAATCATAGCTTAGCCAAGTATACCTTAAATGTGCTCAGAACACTTACGTTAGCCTACAGTTGGGCAGTCATCTAACACAAAGTCTATTATATACTAAAGTATTGAATTCCCCATGTAATTTATCAAATACTGAAAGTGAAAAAATAAAATGGGTACTCTGAGTAGCCATACCTTGTATATACACACACACAGAAAGGAAGGAGTAGTTTTATTAATCTTTTCCACCTGAGAGAGCAGTCAGGCGTTTAGGCCTTACTCAGGGCCTTCTGTACCACCTGTAGAGCTCAGGCCAGAACAGGTGGGCCTATTCCATCTCATTCTCCACCTTCTGGCAGAGCAGGAGTGAATCAGGAGACTGGCCTCTAAGAAGAGAAAGAAGTGATAGGGCAAGAGGAGAGAGAACATGAAAATAAATATATAAAGATGGATTAGAGAACCAAGCAGAGGGAAATTTCAAAGGGAGGATAAAAATTAGATAAAGAGAAGTTCAAACATTTAGAACAGGAGCTGTGGTAAGAGAGGAGGAGGAGGAAGATAATTACGTGGCTTATTTCTCTGTGATCCTCATTGAATTTTATTTACTGGACTTGTATTTTTCATCCTGTTAATTGATTGATTAAATGTGATATGTTTGAATTGAAAAAAAAAAGTTAATGAATTACTAAAATATTAACTAATTTTTTAAACATCATGATCCATTTTGTAATGAAAGGTTTTTGCCAGTCACATTGACAAGTCAGCTTTGCTAGAAGCTCAAATGCATCAATTATCACAAACTGTTAAACAGCAACAAAATGAATTTGACCTGAGGCCTTTGATGGAAGCAGTTGATACAGTGAAACAGAAAATTACCCTGCTAGAATACAATGATCAAAGATTAGGTATGTCTGATATCTTATTTCTCTTTTGGTGACTCATTTGTCTGCATGTGTTCATGAAACAAACATCTAGCCAAATAGAGAGTCACATCTGTCCAGGATAAATAATGGCGGAATCTGCTATTTGTGAGAGCGTCGTGAGATTTCTAGCTACTCAGGCAAAAATGAGGAAGGACCATGAGCGGGGTTGGGGGACTGGGCTAGGAAATTCCAAGACTGGAAACAGGACTGCAAATTCCAACAGGGATTGATGACTTTTAAGAAGAGTGGAAAATAATGAGAAAGCGCAGGGAGAGATATGGTGGGATCATTGTTTAGGTATGGAAAAATATAAAAGGGTTTGACTATTTAAAAGCATTCTAGTTGGAAAAGTATGGGGCTCAGCATGCTGATTCACGCTAGTTGAATGCTCAGTGTGTCTTCTCTACGCTTCAGTGAGTTTGAGTACACATGCAGGTTTCCTTGGAGGCAGTGTGCCGAGACATGATATTTCCTGAGTTAGTATTATTACAATAAATGATCCATTTTCAGACACTGAATTCGGGTCATCTTTAAGATACCAGAATTCCCAAATTCCACTTTGGGAAAATTCTAAGTATATGTTTTAGGCGTATGCAACCTTTTTTTTTTTCCTTATTTGCAGCTGTTTTAGAAGAGGAAACTAACAAACATGATACCCACATTAATATTCATAAAGCACAGCTGAATAAAAATGAAGAGCGATTTAAATTGCTGGAGGGTACTTGCTATAATGGAAAGCTCATTTGGAAGGTGACAGATTACAAGATGAAGAAGAGGGAGGCGGTGGATGGGCACACAGTGTCCATCTTCAGCCAGTCTTTCTACACCAGCCACTGTGGCTACCGGCTCTGTGCTAGAGCATACCTGAATGGGGATGGGTCTGGGAAGGGGACACACCTGTCCCTGTACTTTGTGGTCATGCGAGGAGAGTTTGACTCATTGTTGCAGTGGCCATTCAGGCAGAGGGTAACCCTGATGCTTCTGGACCAGAGTGGCAAAAAGAACCACATTATGGAGACCTTCAAGGCTGACCCCAATAGCAGCAGCTTTAAAAGACCTGATGGGGAGATGAACATTGCGTCTGGCTGTCCCCGCTTTGTGGCTCATTCTGTTTTGGAGAATGCCAGGAACACCTACATTAAAGATGACACTCTGTTCTTCAAAGTGGCCGTGGACTTAACTGACCTGGAGGATCTCTAGTCACTGTTTATGGGGTGATAAGAGGATTTCTTGGGGCCAGAACCATGGAGGAGAGCACATTTGATTATCATATTGACCTGGATTTAGACTCAAAGCACATTTGTATTTGCCTTTTTCCTTTGAAGTCAGTTTAAAACTTCTGAAGTGCTGTCTTTTTACATTTTACTCTGTCCCAGTTTGAAAGTTAAAACACCTAGAATACCCTATTATTTATATTTTTATATTTCTTGAAAGATGGTAAGTTTCTTGAAGTTTTCGGGGCGTTTCTCTTTTACTGGTGTTTAGCGCAGTGTCTCAGGCACTCTAAATATTGAATGTTATGGAGGACATAGAGGCAGCAGAATTCCCAGTTGAAATGCTTTGATATTTTATTGTTTGGCCTGTTGATTCTAGACCTGGCCTAAGCCTGCAAAAGCCGTCTTTATAAAGATAAGGTAGGCTGTTCCAGGTAAGTAGTGGGTGATGTAGTTACAAAGATAACATGCTCAGTTTCGACCTTTTTTTTTTTCCAGTTAAATGCTAAATACGTGGAAATTACTATACCTCTAAGTATTTTTATGAAATTCATTAGCAGTTTGCAAGCACAATTTTGCAAGGCCACACGAGAACTGGTGAATGGGGTAAGGATTTTCATTCTCCCTGAAGTAAAGCAGAAAGTACTGCTTAGTAATATATAAGATATAGCCAGCCAGCTACGGTTCAGATTTCATTAGGTTCAACCCTATGAAAAAAACTAATTTCATAGGTCAAATGTGGTCAAAAATTAGCAGTTTCATAAGATTCAACCAAATAAATATATATGTACATATATATACACATATATATATATATATACACATATCCACCTATATGTGTATGTATATAAACAGTTTGAATGTATTTTGATAACAATAATAAATCAATGTGAAGATGGATAGAATTTAGTACATGATAGAGAAAATGTCATAAATGGATAAAAGGAATTTACAACTTGGGGAGAAAACCTTTGCAGTTTCCTGTGGGTGTCAGAAGTACTCTCAGCCAAAGCTGATGGCTAAAACAGTATTTCCTATTCTCTGAGAACTTTCTTTTTTGAGTCAAAGTGTCGCTCCGTCACCCAGCCTGGAATGCAATGGCACAATCTCAGCTCACTGCAACCTCCACCTCCTGGGTTCAAGTGATTTTCCTGCCTCAGCCTCCTGAGTAGCTGGGATTACAGGTGTCCGCCACCACACCTGGTTGTATTCTTATTAGAGACGGGGTTTCGCCATGTTGGCCAAGATGGTCGCAAACTCCTGACCTCAAGTGATCCATTGCCTCAGCCTCCCAAAGTGCTGAGATTACAGGCATGGCCCACCGCGCCCAGCCTCTGAGAACTTTTGAATTTGTAAGCTGATATGCAAATGGGCATTTATATAAACTTGTAATATTTCTTGTCAGAATTCTAAGTACTGTGTGAAGAACAGAAATGATCATGTTTTTATACATCTATCTGTATGGGTCTGAAGGTGTATATACAAATTGAGATGAGTCCATATGACTCTTGATGAGCCTGAGTTTGACCACAAAAAAATGCCAAGTTGCCTTGAGCCCTTCTGCATTGTTATGCCACTTCCTACTGCTCATATACAGGCTGCCTCTCCTGGACACGCAGGGATGAGTATGGGCCATGGGCCCCTGCAGAGCTGCTCACCTGGTAATGACCATGCACCTTACGATTTCTGAACAGTTAGCCCTATAGAAGAAGCGTGAGTTATATGAGTGTCTTCTGGGAAGAGGAACCTTCTTAATCTCTCCTGTGGGATTTTCAGCATTTGTGCTGCCAAAGCAAGCACTCTTCTGAGGGATTTTCAAAATGCTAAAGACTCATACTGCAGCAGTCATCCCAGATGATTAAATTCAAAGAAATAGGTTCACATTAGGAACATACTAAAGAACCAGAGTGTTGCTGCTGGTGAACTGTGCACAGTTGATGCTCAACACATCACCTGAAACAAACTCAGGAAACATTTCTGTAGCCCACACAGCCAGAACCAGGTGCTCAGTGTGTTTGTTTTTAATGTTCTTCATCATATCCAAGTTCACTGTATCTTCCTGGGCAGTGGAAGATCAATATTGTTGTAACTTCTTTTAAGTAGTTGATGTGGAAAACATTTTAAAGTGAATTTGTCAAAATGCTGGTTTTGTGTTTTATCCAACTTTTGTGCATGTATAGAAAGTATGTCATGGCATGGTTTGCTTAGGAGTTCAGAGTTCCTTCATCACTGAAATAATGATAAGTGATCCCAGAACAAGGAGTTCTACAGCAAAAAGCACCCCTTTTTCACAAAACAAGAGTTGTGATTTTTGTTTAAAACAAGGTCTATCCATGTAAACTATTTTTCCTTTTATGAATGAAATAGTAATTTTTCTTCTGTATCAATAAGATTTAAATTTTTGTTTCCATTTTGGGTTAATTTTGGTTCCTGATAAAAAGATAATGTGCTAAGCATAAAGGGGGAGTTAATATCCTTGAGAAAGTTACAGAAGGATTACAGTGGGAGTGTGTGTGGAGGTGCGTATTAATGCTTATTAACAGGTCTGAAATCCGACCTGATTTCCACATTTGGTATTTTCAGAGAAACAAGAGATAGTCACAGCCAGGATCAATTCACAGTGCCAGTCCTGAATACAAGCTAATAGGACAGTGAGGTACAAACCCTTCATGTGGTCCCTGGATAATCAGTCCACACTACTGACTACCTCTTCTCTTAGACAGCAGTTGGAGGCCGGGCGTGGTGGCTCACACCTGTAATCCCGGCACTTTGGAGACTGAGGTGGGCGGATCACCTGAGGTTGGAAGTTCGAGACCAGCCTGGCCAACATGGAGAAACGCCATCTCTAGTAAAAAATATGAAATTAGCTGGGTGTGGTGGTGGATGCCTGTAATCCCAGCTACTCAGGAGGCTGAGACAGGAAAATCACTTGAACCCAGGAGGCAGAGGTTGCAGTGAGCCGAGATTGTGCCATTGCACTCCAGCCTGGGCAATAAGAGCGAAACTCCATCTCAAAAATAAAAAAAAAAAAAAGCAGTTGGAGACATACATCTCAATCTTATATAAGAATTCTGAGCTGGAGGCCCGGCACGGTGGCCCAGGCCTGTAATCCCAGCACGTTGGGAGGCCAAGGTGGGTGGATCATGAGGTCAAGAGATAAGACCATCCTGGCCAACATGGTGAAACTCTGTCTCTACTAAAAATACAAAAATTAGCTCAGTGTGGTGGCTTGCGCCTGTAATCCCAGCTACTCGGGATGCTGAGGCAGGATAATCACTTGAACCCAGGAGGCGGAGGTTGCAGCGAGCTGAGATTGTGCAACTGCACTCCAGCCTGGTGACAGAGTGAGACTCTGTCTCCAAAAAAAAAAAAAAACCTACTAAGTATTCCAAGCTGGCTGGAGATAAAAGTTTGATGGAGGCACAGTAGGGGTCCCCGATGGTGAAATCTCACAGGAATAACACATTCTATGGGAAGACAAAGAAGAGCCTGCAAAGCATTTGCAGAAGGAATGATCAGAGGTAAGAGAAACACCAAGGAAAGTGGGAAGAGAAAAGAATGTCAACAGGGCCAAATGCCAGCCTGGGAATAGTAGCTGCTCCCAGACCATTCCCATAGTCCTTGTGAACTCACTATCACCCCCATGCTGCTCTCTCCTCAAGTCTGCATCTCTGACCCTGGTCTTTGCCATGAGCTACAGACTCCTACATCTGAGTACCTGCTGAACATCTAAATTTAGGAGTCCCATGGGGACTTTAAGGACCACTTCACCATACTGAACTGGAAATCTTCCCACCTTCCCCAACGCTGCCAACCTATTACTCCTCCATTTCTTCTACCTCAGTGACATCATTGTCCAAGCCAAAAGTTTGGACACTATTCTAGATTCTTCCCCCACCTTCCCCATCCAGTAACCTACCCTGCACTGCCAATTTGACCTCCAAATAATTTCTTTAGAAGTATTCCTACTACTTACCCCTGCTCAGTGCTACTGTTCTATTTCAGGTCTACATTATTTTTTAACTCATAACTATTCTTCCTATTTTTAGTTTTGCCTCTTTGAAATCCAACCTTTACACTGTCACCTGATGATCTATCTCAAATCTGAGTATGACTCTGACCTCATCCACACTGTGGCTTCATAGCCCATAGGAATAAGCCCAGCCTCCATGGAGTGGCATACAAGGCCTTCCATGACCACTTCTACCATTCCAGCCTCACCTTCTGACATTTCTGCTTTGCATGTAGCAACTACCCCAAGCTAGCTGACATTTGTCTGAGCTTGTGCTACATGTCTGTCTGGAATACTTTTTTTTTTTTTTTTTTTTTTTTAATTTTTTAGATAGGGCCTTAGTCTGTCACCCAGGCTGCAGTGCAGTGGTGCAATTACAGTTGACTGCAGCCTTGACCTCCCTGGATTCAGGTGATCCTTCCACCTCTGCCTCCCAAGTAGATGGAACTACAGGCTCGCAACACCATGCCTGGCTAATTTTTTTTGTATTTTCTGTAGAGATGGGGTTTTACCATGTTGCCTAGGCTGGTCTCAAATTCCTGGGTTCAAGTGATCCGCCTGCTCCAGCCTACCAAAGAGCTGTGATTACAGGTGTGAGCCCCCATGTCTGGCCTGGAATACTCTTCTTTATTTTTACCTTCTTTGCCTGGATAATTCTTGCCCTTCAAGAGTCTGCTTTGGCCTCATCTTCTCTGGGAATCCTTCCTAAAGGTTCCTTTAATCTGTAATCCCACTCCCACATTTCACCCTTTGTAACTGCCCATTGGGTTCATTTTGCCCATTGTCCAGATAGAGCCGGTTTATCAAGACAAATAAATTGCAATAGAGAAAGAATTTAATTCACACAGCTGGTTTGCACAGAAGACCCCAGTTTTATTATTGCTCAAATCAGTCTCCTAAAAATTTAAAAACTGGGGTTAAGGATAATCTCATGGGTGGGGGGAAGGTAGTGGGGAGTGCTGACTGGTCCCCCAGGAAATGGGGAGTCAAAGTTGTTCTCTAGTGCTGAGTCAGTTACTGAGTGGAAGCCACAAGACCATCGATCTGGGTAGGACCAGCTGATCCATCCAGTGTGGGGTCTGAAAATACCTTGAGCACCAATCCTAGGTTTTATAATAGTGATGTTATCCCTAGGAGCAATTAGGGAGGCTTAGACTCATAGCCTCTAACTCTATGACTCCTAAACAATAATTTCTAATCTGTGGCTAACTGGTTAGTCCTACAAAGGCAGTCAAGTCCCCAGGCAGTAAGGAGGTTTGTTTTGGGATAGAACTGTTGTCATCTTTGTTTCAAAGTAAAACTGTAAGTTTCTCCCAAAGTTTTTCTGCCTATACTCAGAAATGCACAAGAACAGCTTGGGGGTTAGAAGTGAGATGGAGTTGGTTAGGTCAGATCTCTTTCACTGACATAATTGGCTGTCATAATTTCTGCAAAGTTCGGTTTCACCTTCACTATGTCAAGAGTCCTTGCTCTGTGCTGCTTACTTCCTTGCGCATATCTCAATTGCTCAACTTTTCTTTTTCTGGAAAACAAATGTTGACTACACATTTGTCAGATTGTGTGAGTTACAAATAGAACAGCTATTGACCCTGTCCTCCTCAGACTTCTAATCTGTAGGTCAATCACAAGTGGTACAGAAAAATGATCAGTGTGTAAATGTTCCCAGCCTCCGGACTGACAAAAGACTTTGCCTTTCAACTTCTTTCCCCAGTGCCCTAAGAAATTATACCTCTCAGACGTGTTCTGAATGTTTATGATGCAAAATAAGAGAACAGGCAGAAACACATTTGAAAGGTGACCTCTAAGGGAAAGGTTTATGGAGAATAGCTGAACAGATCTACATAAGGATTGGAGAGAATTAAAGAAGAGAGAGGAGGGAATTCGAAAGATCCTCCAGTGTGTCTGGGTACTGTTGTTTTCCACATTTGGCCTCTGGCTCTTCTGGAGAGTGTGCAAACTACAAGATATTGTTAAAGTCCTTTTCTTTCTCAACCAGAGTGGATCCTGTTGTTCGTAACTAACAGTCTGACCTAATCAAGCTGAGATCTGAAAGATGAGTCAGCTATGGGAAGAGCTATCAGGGTGTATCAGTATCTGGGCACAGGGTACTGAAGAGTGTTGGCTCAAGGAACCGAGAAAAGGATAGGTGGTAGGAGTGCTGTAGACATCAAGAGAATGAGAGTTGACGAGGTTAGAGAGGGAGGCATAGGGTTTAGAATCTGAGGGCTCAGGCCATTGTGAGAAGTTTATGGTTTATGTAAAGTATAATGAAAGTTAACATGTTTTTGGCAGAGGGTGCATGATCTGATTAACGTTTTCTCTCTTATGTGGAGAATAGATTAGAAGGGGGACATGAGAGGACTTGGGAAGAGTATTTAAGGTTAAATCATATTGAAATTGCATTTCATGTCTGTTCCCTTATGAGATCATTGAAGCCAAGAACCATATCTAATTCAAAAGTGCATAGTAGGTGCTCAAATAGTGTATTAAGCTGAATGTATACATACAATAATGCACTGCAATTTTTATAACAACTCTGATAGGCAGGTCTTCTGCCCATTCCATAGATGAAAAATCTGGTAAAGAGATCCAAGTACTAGGCACTGCCCTAAGAATGTTACATATATTAACACATTGATCTTACAACAACCTCATGAGGTATATGCTATTTTATCTCCACTTTACAAATGAAACAACTGAGGCACAGAGAGTTTATGTAATAAGCTCTAGGTTACTCAGCTAAAAAGTGGTAGTGCTAGGACTTGAATCCAGGTAGTCTGGCCTCACAGTCTCCAGTCTTAACCACTACACAGACTGCCTCATATGGATACTGATGACTTCTACACACACACACATGCATATAATGATATACCTTTAAATGAGTTAGAAGAGTACTATTCATAGAATAAAAATCAAATATAACTTTCAAACCACTAAAGTGGGAAAAAATTGGAAAAAGAAACTGTCAAACCAAAGGCAGAAAAGAGAACAGGAAGCATGATACATACAATGAGTGAGATCTATCTATGAATAAGTTAAGTGTTACTATTAAGAGGGAAATTTCAAATGAGGGGGACATGTACATGCTTTTAAAAAACATACCAAAAACAAAATGGAGCTAATAACTGAATGAGCTATATATTCAGAGAAACTCTTGCACATGTGTACCAGGAAACACGTACAAGAAAATTTACTATCAGTAGTTTGTAGTGGGGAAAAAAAAGGAGGGCAAAAAAAAAATAACCTGTGTTGGCATGGAGTGGAGCAACAGCAGCTCTCCTGCATTGCTGGTGGAAGGGTAAGCTGGTACAACCACTGGAGAACAATTTGGCAATATCAGAGTTGAACTGTGCAAGCCCTTCCACCTTGCAATTCCATTTCTAGATATTATGTAAAAGAAATTTTTACCATATGTCTAAGAAGCTGTATACAAGAGTTAACTCATGTTGTAGTGACAGAAATCAGGAATTATTAAATTGCTAGCAACTTGAGAATGGAGAAATGGTGGTATAGTTATACAATAGAATACTATTCAGTAGTTAAAATAAAAAAAATTAGAACTACAGGAATCAACCTGGGTAAATTTTACATACATAATTATAAGTGACAGAAGCAAGTGACATGAATATCATTTATATTAGGTTTAAAAAGCATAAAACAGTACTATATGTTACTTAACATTGCTACATGTATATGGATCATATATAAAAGCTTTCATGAGAATGACAGATACCAAATTCAAGGAATTAGTTAATTCCAAAGGGGAAGAAAGGGAGAATGAGATTGCAGACAGTTTCACAAGGAGCTCTAACTGAATATTAAAATTTGAAACAAATACGAGAAAATGTTAAAATGGGATAAAGCTAGATGGTCGGTTCACAGGTGTTCATTATATTATTTTCTGTAACTGTATATTCTTGTAATATTTCATATTAAACATTTTAAAGGAAAGTGAAGCTTTCAAAATTCTAGAAAACAATAAAATAAATCCAAAGAAATAAATTAATGAAGGCATACATTAATGAAAGAGAAATTACTTTTAAGACAGATTTTATCTATTAAAAAAACCAAAAGCTGGTTCGATAAATATGATCAAGAAAAAGACTCCAACAGAATATATAAGAATATATAAGAACATATAAGAATGGTTGAAAACAATATGAGATTTTTAAAAAATGTTAGCAAATGTAGCTGAAATACTTTTCTAGAAAAATTAAAACTATTTTTCTCAAGAAGCAAAAGAACAAATTATATGTATCAACAACCATGGAAGTTATATAAAAAACAAAACTATCCATTAAGATGGCACCACACCCAGAAGACTTTAAAGATGAGTTCTTCAAAACCTAAGGAATGAATCATTCACACATGCTATGTCTATTCCAGGTCATATAAAAATAAGTTAATCTGTCTGACTCCTAGCACAACCTGATATCAAAACTAGACAAGAACAGCAAAAGAAAACCATAAGCCAACCTAACTTAGGTGCATACATGAAAACCCAAAGTTAAATACACAGCAGATTGCATCCAGCAATATACTGAAAAAGTAACATACCAGGATTGTAAGGATGGCTCACTATTAGAAAATCTATTAATGTAGTTATTTTATTGTAGAGTAGTGGGAAAAAGCCATATAATCTTCTCAAACACTGATACTGAAAATACTTGGTAAATCTGTCATTTGCTGATTAAAAAAAATGGAATGGCTTGGTAAACTACAAAAAGAACACAATTTGCCTATACACCCACTCACACACACATCATAAATCTGCAGAAGACATCTTGAATGAAACCTCAGATGCAATCCAAATAACTCCTGCTAAGAAATAAGTACCTCTGTGGCTACTATTCAGGGTTGTATTGGATTCTTGGGAGAAGCCAAAATTGTTATTTACAGACAAACTCTTACCTACAAATTAAAGAGGATTGCCTGTCAAATTATTAGATTACGAAGGTTTAGTGAAGTGACCAGGTAGGTCAACAATCAAAAACCATACTTATATAAGGGTACTAATGGGTTAACAGTCCATTAGTAAAACAACAAAATAGCTACGAAAAACTTAAACATGCACAACACCAAGCAAACTGCAACGCTTTACCTAAAGAAAAGAACTGAATAATAATAATAATAATAATAATAAAAGCCATATTGCTGGATGGGAATTCTTAATATTGTACTACTATCAAATCTTGGCAAATCTACAAAAATACGGAATCCCAAACAAATCCCTGGAAATCTTTGCCATTTGGCGCCAATGTACTAAATAAATCAGCCCAAGGGTGTGAGGTTCCTCACAGGTGCGTGAAAACGCTTCGCGAGGGGTCCAGCCGTGGACAGAAAAGCCTCAGCCTGAATCCCGCGCCCTTCCAGGTGCCCTCCCCTCCCACCGTGCCCGCAGCCCCCACCAAAGGCTCGCGTAACTGGAAGAGCCACTTTTGTCCCGCCCCACTCTGTGGCGTAGGTGGGACATTTCCGGTCGTTTGTTGCGCGTGCGTGCGCTCTGACGTTCCCTGCGTCTCATCCTCGCGCAGCCCTGCCCGTCGGGCGTTGGGTTTCCTGGCGCTAGTAGCGCTGGGTCTTTGGCACCCTCGGTCCGGTTGGGGCTGTCAAGCCGGACCAAATAGGTTGTTTCTCTGCAGTTTCCAGTAAGTGACCGTTCCAGCCGGGGCTGTGGCTAGAAAGAGTGTGAAGGCAAAACGGTAGAGGTCGCGCCGCCATTTTCTTCTCACCTCACTCTTTCCTCAACTGCCCCTCGGTCACTCCGAGGGGACTGCTGGTAGCCCCCTCTCCCTCGTCCCCCGCTAATGAGGCCGCTCCCAAGCTCTGAGTTTCCCCAGAAGATGTGTCCTTTGTCATAAAAGCGCTCATAGCATTTAGTGCTAATCTTCGACGGCCGCCGACTTCTCAGATGCACCATGGAGGGTGTGTTCTAGGTCTGACACGTCTCAGCCCTTCCGCTTCCGGTAAAATGTGATGTCCCCACCACCACTTCTTACTCCAGTTCTCTTTGTGACTATATCCTCTGTTTCAGAATCTTATCACCTTGTAACAAAAAATGTACCAAGGACGATTCCACTTTGCGCCCCTTCCTCCCTTCTCAAAAAAAAACCCTTCTCGTATTAATAACAAGAGTGCCTTAAGAGTAAGGTACTGACTTAAGCGCTTTACACGCATTTAATCTTCCCACGACAGTCCTCAGGTAGGCAGACATGAGAAAATTAAGGCACAGAAAAGTTAAATAATTTGCCCAAGGCAACATAGGTTGGATGTGGTAGGCTTGAAATTTGAATTTATTGGATTGCTGACTCAATCTGGCATTATCATTCATTCTCTTTCCCAATCACTGGACATTAATTTTTTCTTTTTTTAGTTGATTCTACAGAGGACTTTTTTGCCTTAATGCTGTCTAGAGGGTTCTTGAGAAATTCGGGTTCTGAGAACTCTTTTCTCAGAACCCTCCTCAAACAGACCTTAAGTGGTGTTTTACCAAATCTAAGCTCAACAATATTTTGCCTATTCAAAATGTGCGTATACTTCCTTAACAAAGTACCTCTAAACCAGTACCCACTAACCAGCCTCCTTCCTCTCCCTCAATATGACACTGATTATCACTGTTCTCAGCAAACATTTGGGCAGCTAGCTTATGTAAGACAGTAAAAGTAATTGCGGTTTCGAAGAACTCTGAGGTTTAGTTTCGACCTGAAGGAGAAACATGAAAAGGCCTTCTTGAAAAGGCCTTCTTAAGAAGGCCATATAAAATAGAAATAAATCTCATCTCAGTTGCACAGAATACAAATTGTGTCAGAGCAACTTTGGACAAATCAGATAAGTGCTATATTTGTTTACTCATCTGTAAAATGTTACAGTTAGGCTAGATCACTAAAATATAAATCTAAGTTCAGAGAAGAGTGATCACTCTGTCCTGATGTGGAAACTGTTCAGGGAGGTGGAGGTTGTAGCTTTGTTGTTAGTTTTTTGTTGTTTCTTTTTCTTTTTTTTTTTTTTTTGGAGATGGAGTTTCGCTCTTGTTACCCAGGCTGGAGTGCAATGGCGCGATCTCGGCTCACCGCAACCTCCGCCTCCTGGGTTCAGGCAATTCTCCTGCCTCAGCCTCCTGAGTAGCTGGGATTACAGGCACGCGCCACCATGCCCAGCTAATTTTTTGTATTTTTAGTAGAGACGGGGTTTCACCATGTTGACCATGATGGTCTCGATCTCTTGACCTCGTGATCCACCCGCCTCGGCCTCCCAAAGTGCTGGGATTACAAGCGTGAGCCACCGCGCCCGGCTGTTGTTTCTTTTTTTTTTTTGAGACAGGGTCTCACTCTGTCACCGAGGCTGGAGTGCAGTGGTATGATCAGGGTTCACTGCAGCCTCTATCTCAGCCTCCTTAGTAGCTGCGACTATAGGTGTGCACCACCATACCCGGCTAATTTTTGTATTTTTTGTAGATACAAGGTCTCACTATGTTGCCCAGGCTCATCTTGAACTGGCTTCAGGCAATCCTTGGCCTCCCAAAGTGCTAGGATTACAGGCAAGAGCCACTCCACCCTATCTGTAGTATGTTCTTGATACGAGACAAGGTTGAAGGATTTAGAGTACATTTTTCTCATCTTGAATATCTGATAAAATCGGTAGATCTGCCATCGAGAGGATTAAAGAAAATGTGTGTGCATGTATGTGTGTATGTGTATGCATGCCACAGAGTACTATTTAGCCATAAAAACCGAAATCCTGTTTTTTCCAGCAACATGGGTAGAACTGGAAGCCCTTATCCTAACTGAAATAACTCAGAAACAGAAAGTCAAATACCACGTGCTCTCACTTAAAGTAGGAGCTGAGAAGCAATGGGCATACGTATGTATAAACACTGGAGCCTATAGAAGGTGGGAGGATGGGAGGAGATTGAGAGTTGAAAAATTACATACTGGGTACAATGCTCACAATTTGGGTGATGGGTACACTAAAAGCCCAGGCTTCACTGCTATGCAAAATGTACATCTAAGAATTCTGCACTTGTACCCTCTAAATATATACAAATTTAATTTTTCCTGAGACAGTCTTGCTCTGTCGCCCACTTGGATGCAATCTTGGCTTACTGTAACATCCGCCTCCTGGCGTCAAGCAATTCTCATGCCTCAGCCTCCCAAGTAACTGGGACTGCAGGTGCACACCACCATAACCAACTAATTTTTGTATTTTTAGTAGAGATGGGTTTTGATCTGCTGGCCTGGCTGGTCTCAAACTTCTGGCCTCAAGCAGTCCACCCGCCACGGCCTCCCCAAGTGCTGGTGTGAGCCATGGTGCCTAAAAGCCTAAAAATAAATTTTTTAAAAAAGCTGTAGACGTTTCTCTGGAAATAGTATTCACATCCATACGTTTTATACTTAATTTTAGGAAATTCGTGACTCCTCCTCCTCAAACCTAAATGTTAAAAACCCTTGATGTAGGAAAATAGTATTCAAAACACAGAGTGAAGCCAGATGTGGAAGGCCTTTATCTTGTGGGCAGTGTTGAACTATTTGAGATCTAAAAAGAAAAATTTGGTAGCAATATGAAAAATGCATGACAGTGAGAAAAAGAAATGAGACTAGTTAGGTGGCAGGGGAATAATTTAGGTAGGAGACTGTGCCAAGCAGTATTGGGAATGAGAAGAAATTAGAAGAAATATTGGCAAAGACAAATCAAAAGGACTTCATACCTGACTGGATGTGGAATTGAGAAGAAATCAATGATAACAAGATTTGAGGAACAGTTATGCTGCAGGTCTACCTTGTCTTCAGTATTTTTTTATTACATTTTAGGTTTTGAGGTACATGTGAAGAACATGCAAGATTTTTGCATAGGTACACACATGGCAGCCTGATTTGCTGCCTTCCTCCCCTTCACCTATATCTGGCATTTCTCCCCATGCTATCTCTCCCCAGCTCCCCACCCCCCACTGTCCCTCCCCTATTTCCCCCCAACAGACCCCAGTGTGTGATGCTCCCCTCCCTGTGTCCATGTGTTCCCATTGTTCAACACCTGTCTATGAGTGAGAACATGCGGTGTTTGATTTTCTGTTTTTGTGTCAGTTGGCTGAGAATGATGGTTTCCGGGTTCATCCATGTCCCTACAAAGGACCCAAACTCATCGTTTTTGATGGCTGCATAATATTCCATGATGTATATGTGCCACATTTTCCCTGTCCAGTCTATCATCAATGGGGATTTGGGTTGGTTCCAGGTCTTTGCTATTGTAAACAGTGCTGCAATGAACATTCATGTGCATGTGTCCTTATAGTAGAACGATTTATAATCTTTTGGATATATACCCAGTAATGGGATTGCTGGGTCAAATGGAATTTCTATTTCTAGGTCCTTGAGGAATCGCCTGACTATCTTCCACAATGGTTGAACTAATTTACACTCCCACCAACAGTGTAAAAGTGTTCCTATTTCTCCACATCCTCCCCAGCATGTGTTATCTCCGGATTTTTTAATGATCGCCATTCTAACTGGTGTGAGATGGTATCTCAGTGTAGTTTTGATTTGCATTTCTGTAATGACCAGAGATGATAAGCATTTTTTCATATGTTTATTGGCCTCATGTATGTCTTCTTTTGTAATGTGTCTGTTCATATCCTTTGCCCACTTTTGAATGGGTTTGTTTGTTTTTTTCTTGTAAATCTGTTTTAGTTCTTTGTAAATTCTGGATATCAGCCCTTTGTCAGATAGGTAAACTGCAAAAATTTTTTCCCATTCTATTGGTTGCTGATTAACTCTAATGACTGTTTCTTTTGCTGTGCAGAAACTGTGGAGTTTGATTAGGTCCCATTTGTCTATTTTGGCTTTTTTTGCCAATGCTTTTGGTGTTTTGGTCATGAAGTCCTTGCCTACGCCTATGTCCTGAATGGTTTTGCCTAGATTTTCTTCTAGGGTTTTTATGACGTTAGGTCTTATGTTTAAGTCTTTAATCCATCTGGAGTTAATTTTAGTGTAAGGTGTCAGGAAAGGGTCCAGTTTCTGCTTTCTGCACGTGGCTAGGCAGTTTTCCCAACACCATTTATTAAACAGGAAATCCTTTCCCCATTGCTTGTTTTTGTCAGGTTTGTCAAAGATTGGATGGTTGTAGATACGTTGTGTTGCCTCCAAGGCCTCTGTTCTGTTCCATTGGTCTATATCTCTGTTTTGGTACCAGTACCATGCTGTTTTGATTACTGTAGCCTTGCAGTATAGTTTGAAGTCCGGTAGTGTGATGCCTCCCACTTTGTTCTTTTTGCTTAGAATAGACTTGGCTATGCGGGCTCTCTTTTGGTTCCATATGAAGTTTAATGTGTTTTTTTTCCAGTTCTTTGAAGAAGGTCATTGGTAGCTTGATGGGGATAGCATTGAATCTGTAAATTACTTTGGGCAGTATGGCCATTTTAACAATATTGATTCTTCCTAACCATGAGCATGGAATGTTTCTCCACCTGTTTGTGTCCTCTCATTTCATCGAGCAGTGGTTTGTAGTTCTCCTTGAAGAGGTCCTTTAGGTTCCTTGTTAGTTGCATTCCTAGGTATTTTATTCTCTTTCTAGTAATTGTGAATGGTAGTTCGTTCTTGATTTGGGTCTCTTTAAGTCTGTTATTGGTGTATAGGAATGCTTGTGATTTTTGCACCTT